GGAGTGACTATTAGCATAAAAATACTCTCTTGATACATATGAGTGTATACACTTTATCACTGTTGAGATTATAATTTTTGTGATATGGATTGATACTGATTAATCATGTACTTTCTAGGTGTTTAATGGAAAGAGATTAATTTTGCATTTTGATGAATATGATGGTAGGAACTTACATTGTATGATGGATGTTTCTTTTAAAATGGGATGACAATTTATAATAACGTTTTCATAAGACGGAGCGTTACATTTTGGTTATCTGTTATAAAAATTTAAAAATAATAATAATTGAGTACAAATAATTAATTATTAATTAATAGCTACCACCTACGGCACATATTCAAATAAAATTTTAACTTTTTAAAATTAAATAATAATATTTGATAAGATATTAATTATAAACTGAATCTGCTGACCAAAAACCTGAATCTGGTTGAGTCGTTGAAGCAGGTGTCATGGGTTCTCTGTTATCTTAGTTTTTCCTGCAGACAGCACGTAAGCTATTCTCATATATATACATATATATTATAATATATATATATATATATATACTCTTATCTGAAAAAAAAAAAAGGGAAGGGGCGGCTCTCACGCACTGAAATCAAAACAATGGATTTCCCGCAAACTGGGGAGCGGACCTCAGACAATTCTCAAGGGTCGTACGTAATGTATTATTATTCTCAAGGTCAGGTGTCCTAACAGGTGTCTTCTTTTCTCTTCTCCACTCGCTCTCTCCCCATGCAATATTCCCATTTACCCTATATATCATATATATATATATCTATATATATCTATCTATCTGTTATAGATAATTTATTATTACGTCATAAATTTTCAACAAGAGAAATCTGATGATGTTAAAAGTAGACATACTGAAACTTAATATTTGATGATTAAAGATTGTTGACCTGAAAGTTGGCAGGTCAGTTCACGTGCTTTGAATTTTCCCCTAACATGAAAAATAAATATAACAATTTTTTAACGAAAAAAATAATTTCTTAACTAAGATTATTGAGAAAATAAATCTCTAAATACACACAAAGTTGATGAACAAAATAAAAAATAATAATAAAATTTAACGTTAATTCTATAAATAATAACAAAAATGGATTTTTATATAAACAAAAGATCATAATTTTTTTAAAAAATATAAAATATATACAAAATATTCACATAATCAAATCACTAAAAATAAATACTTAAATTTATATCATTAATCTTAATAATTTAATTAATTAAAATTTTAACTTATAATATAATTTTTTTAATAAAAATATTATCGTAATTAATATAATTTTACAATATGAGCTGAAAGCTGATAGATCAGTTTAAAGAAATTTAAATTTTTTCTTAACATGATAAATAAATATAATAATTTTTTAACGAGTAATTTTCTCTTAAAATAATTTTTTAATTATTATAAATTCTTAAATTTATAATAATTTATAAACGAGTTTATGATCTTACAGTCTGATAATGATATTAGAGAGTCCTTCAAGTTCAAGGAGGCCTGCGGAATCATAAGTTTGTCCAAATGTGACTCGTCCATCTGGGTTCACGACACGCCCCCACCAAAGCGCTGCGTTTTAACACTTGTCAATGATCCATAAACCCTGCCTATTCTCGGCACTAATTCCCTTGAAATACCCTCCATATATTACACCTCTCACGCTCACACATCCCCAATAACTCCACCACCAACAACAAGAAGATATGGAAAGTGAAATAATGGCGAACACAAGGAGATCATCATCGTCATCAGCAGCAGCAGTATCATCAGGAGCGAAGAAACCCAGTATGGGAAGATCAAGAAAAGGGTGCATGAAAGGTAAAGGTGGTCCAGAAAATGCTCTCTGCACTTACAGAGGGGTTCGTCAAAGAACATGGGGAAAATGGGTTGCAGAGATTAGAGAACCCAATAGAGGTACCAGACTCTGGCTTGGAACTTTCAATACTTCTCTTGAAGCTGCTACAGCTTACGATGAAGCTGCCAAGAAACTCTATGGCGCTTCTGCTAAACTTAATCTCCAACACAATCATATTCATCATCATCATCATCATCATCAAAACTACTTTCCCACTACTTTTAGTAATAATGGTAATATTGGGTCGGACTCAAGCTCTTCTGCAGGGAGCAGTACGGAGAGTTCAGTGCAAGGTGATCAGGACTTGATGATGATGACGACGAACATGGTGGGTGCTGTGAGTGTAGATGAGCATACTCGTGTGAATTGTAGTGCAGATGGGTTCTTGTTTTCGAGCTCGGTCGTCGGAGAAGATCAAAATATGTACTGGGTGCCGGAGCTTGCGGTGGAGAATGATTTCTTGGAACTGACTGATATTGGGGTTTTGATGGGTGGTGGTGGAAATGATGATCATCATGATGAGCTTAAAGGGTGGAATATTGGGTTGCAGTATCCATGGAGCTTGTGATCTTCTTCTTCTTCTTTTTCTTCTTCTTCCCTTTTAATATGTTAGTTTGGGTTAGCTCGCTGCTTTAATTTGTCATGTACAGAGGATATTTAGGGTTTTGATCTTGAGAAGAATGGTTCATGGGAAGAGGGAGAGATGAATGGTCTAGTTTCCTATCTTAAGCATTTGTCTTTTTCTTTAAATCTTTTCAGCTACTTTTAAACTGCTGCTGCTACTGCTTATGGAGGCCTTGTCCATTTTCTTGCTTCAATATATATATATGATGGTTGTTTGTTTTGTATATATCTATATATATGTATACATGTATATAATATGTGTACATATATACACTCGGCTTTCTTTTATTTGTTGGGCTTTCCTCGTTCCGTAGTGTGCGTGTATATATATAATATATATATATATATATATATATATATATATTCTCAAACAAGTTGCAGTCCAACGGAGCTGTGAAATAATTGTATGCTTCTATATTAATATTAATCTCTCAAAAACATAATATACACATATATATATACACGTAAAAATTTATTATTTGATTAAATTAATCAATATTTGTCAATTTTATCAGATTTATTAGTGGATTGGCCCAATTTCATTTTCGTCACCTTTCCACTGATATATATATATATATATATATATATATAACCCGAATCTATTGGCCCATCGCCTACTCTCATGGGCTGGGCAATCTCCTTTTGAGTTGGAAGGTCATCTTTTTGACTTTTTTGAAAATTTTTTAAACTTAAAAGTATGTATTATTTTCTGCTATAAAATATTTATTAGTTAATAATATATATAATAATTTTGTATCCTTTTAATATAAAAACAATTTTTAAATACATTAAAAAAATTTAATGTGATAATAAAGTTAGTAATTATATATATATCGACAAACATACGTGATTATTACTAATGATAATATTTTAATATTTTCAAAAATTGAATAATTAAATAATATATATTAATATTTGAAAAATATTTAATTAATAAGAAAAGGGGAAAATTCAAGTAAATGTATCCATCACGGATTAATGCAAATTGTTGTATCTCCCACGTGACAAACTTTGACGCACAGACAATTGCATGTGTTTCACTCGCTTTCAACTATTAATTCATTTGCCTAATGAAAATGATCATGATATGAAGTCAATCCTACCCACTCTCCACATATATATATATATATATATATATACACACACACTCACACATATATACATATATGTATATGGTGATATCTATCTATTTTAGGAAATGTATATTCATACATACATCTATATGTCTATTTTTAAGGATATATATATATATATATGTATATGTATATGTATACGTATATGTCTACTTGTTTGCAAATTTCCGAACGAGACCTGTCTAATTCGACAATACCCAAGTTTAATTATTAAGAAAACTCTTCACATTTTATTTTATAATTAGTAAAATGTTGTAAGTTTAATTAATTTTCCATTTTGGAATTTTGAGTACTTATATATAATTATCACAATATCAAATTCTATGTGGAGTTAAATTTTTTATTCTTCTAGCAAAATTAATATATATATATATATGTATATTTTATTGCTAAATTAGGTGTAGTATTATAAATAATTCCATATAATTTTTGAATTTATTCCAAAAGTGGCCTTAGATTATATCCAAATAAACACTTTCCCCCTAATGCCCATCTATCAATTTTAAGTATTCATTAATCATCCATCAAGATTTCACCAACCAATAAATCAATTATTAATTAGTAATCAATATTTATTTAATTTATCAATCAATTGCACATATTTTATTAAACAAAATATTTGTATCCAATTAATATTAATTATAATAACTATAATTAATTCTCACTAATGTAGTATCAATTATAAGCAAATCTTAAATCAGTAAACATCAATTTTAAGCTTCCTGTCATATGGTGTAAGTAATGTCGATCTATATGCACCAATATCATGGGATGTTTTCTTCCTTCTTTTATATTTCATATAATTTTCACAAAATATATTGAATTTAATCATAATAAAAGTTTGGAAAAGAAAAAAAACTTTTGTCGATTTTCCCATTTCAAGACAAGGCGAGTCTAAGAATGTATTTGTACGATCAAAAGATAATACGAGAAAGAATAGTCGAGTAAACGATAGTTAAAATTTGCAAATTAATTAGAAAAATGTAAGATAAAAAATTTAAATGTTCTAAAGAAAAAAAATGGTGGAAGAGAAAATTAAAGAGGCTGAAAAATTAGCTGAAAATAATGCAGTCTGCTATAGTGTTGGGGTGCCGGTACAGTTGGATTAGCCTTGTATATCAAGATCTTTGCAGCTGTGAGAGTGGTTGGCTATATTAATTAGTTCATAGACAGCTCACTGTATTTATACTTTTATCTATACGTATATATATTTATATTGTACATCCAGTTTTTTGTCTATACTTGGAAAAAAGGAGACGCTTAAACTCCTCACATGATATATATATATATATATATATATCTATAACTTTGACTTTAACTTATAATTTTTCACAGAGAAAGATTTACTAGATCATTAAACTGATAAGTAACTAGTTAATTTAATATATTATTTTTAGTTTTATATATATATGTGTGAGAAAGAAAGAGCTTGGATTGTATATGTGACTAATGCAATTAGTTTCAGATACATATACATATATATATATAGCTTTCTGTTCATTTTTTTTTAAAAGAACCTAAAACATATATAACCTCCTCATCTTTCGTTTCTTTAACTCATTAGTTAATGCAAATTTTATCGTAAATAAAAGTTTATGATCCTTGATTTTTTAACATAGAAATTGTGGCTATGTTCAGGAGTGTTATATCTTATAACAGGTATATACATATATGTACACACACAGATGCACAAATATAAGTGATGTATAATTAGCTAGGGATAATTATGATGTTAATTAGGATTTGATTGGAAGAGATAATTGTATTGTTGAACTAACTAAGCATAAAACCCCACATTATTTATGTCAATCACATGGCTCGCCTTAATTAATCACCATTAACTCTACTGTTTCCTACTATTATAATAATAGTAATCAACCACTGATAGGAAAATATATGATATATGTAATATGAGCACATTCGAAAAATTAAGCAGATTAATATGTTTTAGCATATATCCACCTTGGTCGTTGAAAATATAGACATATATATGTGTGTATATACATCTTAGATATTAAACTCTATATATGTAATATTATTGTTATAAAGCATACCATTAACGGAAGCTCAACATGTGAGCTTGTTCTTCAGTAAGTTTGGCTGGTCTGAAATATCTATTTGTTAAGGAGAAGGAGAATTTAAAGCATACTTCAAAAGCTAAAATAATTAAAGAGAGGCAATTAAGTTTGGAAGATTATGGGTCTTTGAGCTCAAATACGTTAAAGGGTTTCAATGAAATAGAAGTATGTTTGCACCAAAAACCTAAACAATATGGAAAGACCTTCACTAATGATCTAAAGGAAAATCTTATCAGTGTCACTGATAATGGCTTAATCACAGGGATTAAGGCATTTAAGAAAGAAAAAAGAGCATCGGAGAGGAATGAAAGATGTGAAAATGAAAAGGGATTCGTGTGAGAATCTAAGAGTCTTCCTTACATGAGTTGTGATTGTCTGATGAAACATTCTTTAGCAAGACTATAGAATAAATAAACATCTTTAAGAGAAAATTATCAAGTTGAGTGAGAGTGAATTCAAAGGCATGATTATAGTAAAGACAAGTCAAAGAAGGAGAAAGATCGTTCACTATTACCAGGAAATTACATTACAAAAAAACTAAAAATATGAAAGAGAAGATAAATTTTTGACTCATAGATTGGTAGTAGAAATGCAACAATAATAAAAGTGGTAAAAAAGTTTGGGTCCTAGGTTAGAGGCTTAACATATAATTTGCAATGGCGAAATAGATAGCAATAAGAACTATTAAAGAAATAGAAATAAAGAGTTTGAATGATCGCGCTAAAATAAAAATATTTAGTTATTCTTAAATAGAAGGAGTATGAATGAGTTGATATTTATCAGAAGAGAGGGAGATTGTTTTGTCCATCTCCACCAAGTTAAAGAAGAGGTCGGTGATTTCAAGGTGTCATTTCAATGAATAAACAACGATTTGATAGAAAAAATATGAACTTTTTAAGAAGAAAACAACGAGAAAAATATGTGAGTGTGATAGAAAAAAATTCTTTGATCTTGATAGTTTCAACATGAATTTATTAAAAATAATTAACAATTATAAAACAAAAGGAGATTTTATGAATTTCTAAGAGATTTTTATAAAAATGATGTATTTTCAAAATCTATATTTTTATATGATTTATTATTAAATACAGAATTTAATAAGTTTTAAAGAATTCATACATATACTTTTTATAGAACACATGTATAACGTGTTGGTAAAAATATTAGTGTTTAGATTAAAAGGGTTATGAACTTCTTCATCTTTGGTCAAAGTACCAATAGATTAGAAAATTTGATTTTCTTCAGTTTGAACCGAAATGAATTGATTTGGATCAAAAATTAAAAAAAAAAATCGAAGAGATACTTATTCTATTTGATCTGGATTAAAATTAAAACGGTCTAACATTTAGTTTCAACCTTAATCCTTGATTAGTGTTAGATTCAGAGTAGGTTTGGATTGATGAACACAATGGAATTTGTGATGCTTGATTTGTTGGACCTTCAAGGTTCACTTGTGTAGTTTGTACATTTATCCAATAAATAAATAAATAAAACTTGGCCAAAAGTTGGATTCAGGATCCATGTGATTAGTTTGACCAAAATCCCACTCTTAGAGAAGCACTTTTTTGACACTATCTATGGAACCCAAATATATATATATATATATACACTTTATATAATATCAAATATATATACCATGGTGGATATTCTTATTAAAAAATTATATTATAATTTGTGTATAAATTTCATTTCATTAATAAAATAATATTATTTTAACTTTATTAATAAAAATTAATTTTTTTAGGTAATGAAAATTGTTCCTTACATACATATGGAAATTTACATTGTTTATCCCATATTAATAGATTTATTCTTCACTAGTACTACATATATGTATGTATATATATATATATATATATAGATACATATTTATATAAGTAATTGCTTAATATAACTGGCAAAAAGCTAGACTGCTGCAGGGTATATATAAAGAAGGATCTACTAAAAAATGGGAGAATTTTTTTTTTTTTTTTTTAATTTCAGCCCACCAGCACATACAATTCCATTTGGTTAATTTGCTTAAAATTTTGTCATTCCAATAATATACACATAACATATATGATTAAACATGATGCTATATATATATATGATCCCCAAATTAAGATGATGCACATACATGATGACCATCTGGTACATATATACATATTCCAGTACTAAATTATTGAAGATGATACGTTTAATCACACACAACTTGACTTTAATCTGATCATACGGCAACCCTTTAAATCTAACTCCAACTGCTGGTAGAACCAAGCCATTAATGTCTTGAGCTACCCTCAAATATCAAATGAACAGCTTATATATACCCCAGCCTGTTTCTCCTCCATCATATTGCATATACAAAAATTACAAAAAAATATATATACCCATAAATATAAATTATAAACACTTATACAACACACAGAGAAAAATTACTAGGACACATTATCTATCCGAGTTTTTCTCAGAAACCCAAATGGATAAGGCATCCATTTCTTCAGTGTTGATGATGATGGTGGTGATGACGAAAATGGCAAGTGTTGCAGATGCCAGAGCCTTCTTCGTCTTCGGTGATTCGCTCGTGGATAATGGAAACAATGATTATCTTGCCACCACTGCTCGTGCTGATAATTATCCTTATGGCATTGATTATCCAACTCGCAGACCAACTGGACGATTCTCCAATGGCTTTAACATACCAGATCTTATAAGTATGTTCTCATTGGTCTATATATACAGTAGATTAATATATACATGTATGTATATGTAATAAAAAATGTGGTTAATCTACAGGCCAGTCAATTGGGTCAGAATCCACATTGCCATATTTGAGTCCAGAGCTCAGGGGAGAGAGGTTGCTCGTTGGAGCAAACTTTGCTTCTGCTGGAGTTGGAATCCTCAATGACACTGGGATTCAATTTGTAAGTATAAATATATATATATACTTATACATTCATACATATATATACACTATGCTACATTTGAAAGAATTATTAGCAAATTAGGGTTAACAATGTTCAATGATTTAACACAAATTTGCTTGGAAAATGAGAATTAGACGTTATTATCAAAGGATATGGTTAAAATATGATATTATGAACATATATTATTATTATTTCTGTCCATAACACACATATATATATGTAACATTAATTTGGTGCAGTTAAATATAATCCGAATCACCAGACAGCTGCAGTACTTTGAGCAATACCAGCAGAGAGTAAGTGCACTTGTTGGAGAAGAACAAGCTCAGCAATTAGTGAATCAAGCTCTTGTCTTGATCACACTTGGAGGCAATGATTTTGTTAACAACTACTACTTAGTTCCTTTCTCCGCAAGATCTCGCCAATTTTCTCTCCCTAATTACGTCGTCTACCTCATCTCCGAGTATCGCAAAATTCTAGCGGTCGATCTATACTTATTTTTTATTATTTTTATTTTTATTTTATTTTATTTCACGAGATTTTTAGATTTTATTTATATCTATATCATATCACGAGCATTCCTAACTCTCTTTAACTCTTTCTTGAATTTTTTTTTTTAATATGATTTCTGAAAATGAAACTTGATGCCATTTTTATATACACAATAAATTTTGAATTAATAAATAATTCAACATAAAGCACATGAATTAATAAGAGAAATTATTTTGTGTGACAGATACAAATTGATATAATATTGTATTTGTATGTTATACAAATAATTTATATGTCAAAGTTTATATTTTACACAAATGATTTCTGTAATTAATCAATGGCCAGAACATACTCAGCCAAGAAAAAGTTATACACTAATAATTGATTTGGGTTCATTTTATACATGCATATATATTATATATATTATATATATATATGCATGTACCATTTTCTAGATATTTTAGATGAGTTTGGGGTAGTGTTAATTGTGAGAGAGGGGTTGATAGGATGAGTTATTATTTTACAGCATTTGGTTGGTGAGGCCATAAACCAATTCTTGATCTTTCCTTTTGAATTTAAAGCTATCTCTTAGACTGAGCCTATACATATAGATGCTAGGTGTACGTATGTAGATATGCACTTTCATATATATGGGTGTGAAATATGCATGATATGTCGTTTTCTCATTAGTGCTTTTAGAGATTATTCAACTTAAAAGAAAATTTTTCAACACTCCCCCCCACACCAACTTAAACTTACTTGCAGTACTAATTAATTACGTGTACACACATCTATCTACATACATATATATACATACATACATACATAAATACATGCATACACACACATACATACATATATAAAATATGTTGGAGAAATTAAGAGGGTATTTTTTATTAAAGCAAATAAGAGTGATACATATTATGCATCCGCATATGAAACTATATACACACACACACATACATATATACATACATGTATACATCCATTTATACATACATACATAGGTACATATATATATATATATATATATATAACATGTGGTAGAAATTAAGAGGGTATTTTTTATTAAAACAAATTAGAGTGACTCATATATGTATATGTATATGAAAATATGTACATGCAGAGGTTATATGAGCTGGGAGGACGGAGAATTCTGGTGACAGGAACTGGACCAATAGGGTGTGTGCCGGCCGAGCTTGCCATGCGCGGCAGTAGAAACGGCGAGTGTTCCAGTGAGCTTCAGACGGCGGCGGGGTTGTTCAACTCGCAACTGGTGCAGCTACTGAATCAACTCAACTCGGAGATTGGGTCCAACGTCTTCATTGCTGCTAATACAAATGAAATGTCTTTTGACTTCATCAACAATCCTGGAGCATATGGTAATTAATTAATTAATTTTAATTTATTTAATCTCATTAATATTAATTTTAAAAAATTCGATTACATATTAAAAAAACAAAAATAAAAAACAACCATTTTTATTAAATTTAATAATTAATTAATATAAGTCAATTTATTCTTTCGTAAAAAAATAAAAAAAAAAAGTTCATAAATTTAAGTCAGATTGTAATCCCGTATATCTTAATTGTATAGTAGTGCTCGGAAATCTGTCAACCTGACAAAAGGGTAAATTTAATTAAAGCATGGATGTTAAATTCATAGGGACCCTGTTGGAGTAAATGCCATTATTGTCATAAACATCTTGCTTCTTTCTGGTCCCCGTCCCACATGGCAGCCTATATATGTATATATATATATATTGAATTACATATGGAAATTATTATAATTTAATTCATATTGAGTATAAGCTTAGTTTTTTTTATTGAAATATTTCATCTTTTTTAGATTATTGTAATTATATTATAATGTTTTTTATTTAATATTTTTTTGACCTTATGAACGTAAGAAATGTAGTTTCTAGTTATCTTTTTCTATATATATATAATCTGAATGATAGCGATAAAGCATATATAATATGTACGTGAGCTGGATTATACAGAAATTACATCATTTTTTAAATTTACATAAAAATTAAATAAATTAATATATATATATGTATGTTGTGTAGTATTATGATATATGTTTATATATATGCAGGGTTCGTGACGTCGAAGATAGCATGTTGCGGACAAGGACCGTACAACGGGATCGGACTGTGCACGCCGGCGTCAAACCTGTGTCCGAACAGAGACATTTACGCCTTCTGGGATCCGCTTCATCCGTCGGAGAGAGCCAACAAGATCATCGTTGATAGGATCGTCACCGGCTCCACCAAGTACATGAACCCCATGAACTTGAGCACTATAATGGCCTTGGATTCTAGGACCTAGCTACCCTACTCTCCTCTCATATATATATATATATATAGATATATATATTATATACTCTATATATATATATATATATATATATATATCTCAACTGATTGATTAATATATTTCAGAAGGGTTTGATTAATTAGACGGTATATTTTTGATTAATTTCTATTGTCAATTGTTGGTGATGACGGATTAGTGATTGGGTTAATTTGTATTATTCAAATTAATTTATGAAATTGTATGTTATTGTTATTACTTAATTAACGAGGGGGTGCTCAATTGTTAATTACCATATTTATAATCTCTGTTAATTTATAACATATAATATTGTTTGATATATCATGTAATTGTTTCTTTTTTTTTTCGACAGTTTTTCTTGTGAAATTCTTGGAATGGTTTGGCTAAAAAGCTTTAATTAATTTTCAATAATTACTTTTATTTATTTACTTTTTTAAAGCCATTTTTTTTATTTTACTAGGTTTTTTAAAAAAATTAATTAATTTTCAACCACTTTTAAAATTTTTGTTTTCTTGTTAGAACATGGATGAACAGTTAAAATTTTTATGAAAAATATTAATTTTTATACTTTTAGTAACTCAATAATATTAATAAATAATTCAATATAATGACTGACTCTAAAGATACTTAATAATTTGTCAATAAATAAAATGTAAAATTTAAAATTTATTGAAAAATATCAACAGATAGACTGGTTAGATTAGTAAAAACAACATATAAAAAGAAAACACGTAGACAACACATGTTTAATATAGAATTTGGCATTCATAAAGAATATTAATATTGAGAGTATCCTTTTTATCCTCATTCCCAACAGCTCCCCGATCCTCGATCCCCATCAGAAACTTGTTCCCCTTCCTCATTCACGATACCATGAGGTAGCAAAATCAAGGAAGTTTAGATCAAGTTCAATCATAATCATATTTAATTTACCCATGAGGATTTCTTTTTGTTATACTTTTTCAATATAAGTAAACTTTAGTCATAATTATAATTGAATTTTCTCTACACATTAGGCACATAATTATTACATTAGTTTTAAGCTCGTAAACTTTTATTATCCTCCTTTACATTCTCCACTGCTGTATTGTCTCGAATCTCAATAACTCGTACAAATTAATAGTTACCTTTTTAATTAGTAAATATAAAATAATTGATTTTGTAGATTTAAGTTGATGATCGAAACATGAGTGATGAATGTGTCGATAAACAAAATTGTATTAGAACTCCAAGAAATTCTAGATTTAGGTTATTTACTTTGGTCTTGGAAAATCTGCATGATTATTATTATTGTAAGATATGGTAAAATTAAAAATATAATTCCACCACCTCAAAATTAATGTTGGTCACATGGCACCTTCATAAGAACAATGTACCACCTCATTACTAACTTTCCAATAGTGATAATACCACACCACTTTTGTTGGTTGAAGTGAAACCTCAGACTTGAAGGCTTTACTTCTTTTAATTTCCATTATTAATATATATATATATATATATATATATGCATAACATATACCTATATAAACTCACATTTACAGTAGAGAATCCGCCAAAACCTTCAAATTTGGTCACTCAAATTCACTCTCATTAATTGTAGCAAGTAATTAAGTTATTAGTAAAATGTTATCATGAAAAATAAGTAATTAATAATCTATATTTTTTGAACCAATAAAATTGAAATTAGAAAAATCCATGATTATAGTAGAAAAAATTAGTATATTAATATATATGATATATGTATATATGTTAATGCCGCCATGTTTAGCATCATTAATACAGTTTCATGTATATATATGCCTGAGAATGTCCATCAAGAGAACAATTTAACAAAATTTGTAATATTTTGGTACCTAAATCTAAACACATAAGCGATAATTAATTTTTTTTTGTAATTAATATGTCTTCTTTATGATTTAATAGGAAATTATTTCTATTATATTATCATTAATATATATATATATGCATTATTTTATACCTTAATTGCCAAGTTGAGAAAGGAAAATACAGTTTGGTCGAATAAAACATATCATGTTATAATTTATCAGATTAAACCTTGTACTGACCAACATCCAGTTTTCATATTGTATAAATACATATATATATATATATATATTTGTATTATTTATATATTGCAGCTAGAAACTAAAGAGAACAATTTGGGTAAAGAAACCAGACCCCTGCCATGGAAACAATGAGTAGTCTAAAGTAGTTGATGAAACAAAACCAAACAGTGGTTTACAAAAATGGTAACTCTACCTTCTTCTTCATTTCTTGTAGCTTATACAATTAATATACCCTACTGTTTACATATATATATATATGTACACCCAGTTCTTCCTTCATGTATCCTTCATCGAAGCTTCTCTTCACTCAAAACAAAAACCAATATTGATCATTTTGAAAGTGAAATTAAACTTTCAAGATGAGCAATTCTTCAATCTTGTTAGCTGTCAACATTATGATAGCTTTGATTTTGTCATGTGGATCGAAAATGGCTGAATCTCGAGCTTTCTTCGTGTTTGGCGACTCCATTGTGGACAATGGCAATAACAATTTTTTGATCACCACAGCTCGAGCTGACTCGCCACCTTATGGAATCGATTTTCCCACTCATCGACCCACCGGCCGATTTTCTAATGGCCTGAATATTCCTGATCTCATAAGTTGAATTCTTTCTTTGATCTGTTTAATTAATTTTTTTTTTCTTCTTACTATATGTTTTGATTATTTTGCATGGTGTACATTTTATGTGTACGTATATGTTAAAATGCATGCACTTATGGATGAAATATTTTAGGTGAACAAATGGGAATAGATTCTCCATTGCCATACTTGAATCCAGCCTTGAATGGTCGACAGTTGCTTAATGGTGCCAATTTTGCCTCTGCTGGTGTTGGGATTCTCAATGACACTGGAATCCAATTTGTGAGTCTCTTTGTATATATATATATATATATATATATATATAAGAATATATTACACTAAAATTTTTGAATTCTAAATACAGTTGCAACCATCTTATTAGTTTAAAAATATTATAATATAATTTTTGTATTTTCTGAATGAATAATTATTTTTCAAAAATGTTAAAGGGATGTATATGATGGACTGAGTATAAGGATTTGCAGGTGAACATAATCCGTATATACAAGCAACTGAAGCTTTTCCAGCATTATCAGCTAAGAGTGAGTACTCTAATTGGAGCTGTGGAAACCCAGAGACTTGTAAATGAAGGACTTGTTCTAATTTCCCTGGGAGGCAATGATTTTGTCAATAATTACTATTTAGTGCCATTTTCTCCGAGGTCTCGTCAATTTTCTCTCCCCGATTACGTCGGATACCTCGTCTCTGAATATCGAAAAATTCTTACGGTAAGTTTTAGATGTATAAAAATATAAAAACACGTGTTCTGATACTATTTATAATTTTATAAATAACTAATTTTTTTTAAAAAAATTATATATGTTGGATTTGTAGAGGCTACATGATGTGGGTGCGAGACGGGTGATGGTTACGGGAACGGGACCGATGGGATGCGTTCCGGCAGAATTAGCGATGAGAAGTCCTAACGGAGAGTGTTCGGTTGAACTACAGCGAGCTGCAGGGTTATACAATCCACAATTGGTGGAAATGTTAAATGGACTGAACAGGGAGCTGGGGGAAGATGTGTTTGTTGCTACAAATGCTTTTGATATGCACATGAACTTCATTAATTCCCCTCAAGCTTACGGTAATACAAAAAGATTAATATAATTAATGATTAATTAATATTAAATCAAATTAAAAAAAAACAAAGGGTTGGTGCTTGTTTGGATACAGGATTTACTACGTCAAGAATAGCATGCTGTGGACAAGGAGCATATAACGGGATAGGATTATGTACGCCAGCGTCAAACCTGTGTCCAAACAGGGATTTGTATGTTTTCTGGGATCCATTTCATCCGTCTGAGAAGGCTAATAGAATCTTGGTGCAGCAAATGATGACTGCCTCTACAAAGTATATGCACCCTATGAATCTATCCACCATCCTCGCCTTGGATGCCACTACAAACAAGAACCCTTAAATCAATAATTATATTATATATTAAGTGGGTCATGTATCTATATATATATATATACATATATAATATTTGTTATGTGGGTTAATTAATATATATTTGTTTTAATTAGGGTGCTTGGTTAATAATTTGCTTAGAGTCTTTCCTTAAATTAGGTCCTAATTATTAGGATCTTAGCTAAATGTACGTATTTATTATTATAAAATAAATTTTATAATATTTCATCTTTTTTTTTTCTCTTCAAAGTGAAGAATTTAATATGTGCTAAAATTGTGAAAACATATTGGTACTTATAATATTGCCTCAAACTCAGTAACTATATATATACATTCGATTGAATTATTGGGGGTCACTTGCATCAATGTACGTACATGGGTGTGTGTATATATACATAATATGTTTTGCAAGCTCAATATATAAAGGAACTTTATATATGTTTTGAAAGCATATATAAAGTTTTAGTATCTAATAATAAAATTATGAGGATGGCCATTAATAATTTATTTCAATTGATTGTTTGTGTGTGTGTATGTATATATATATATATATATATTATATAGTTATAGATTTAATTTAATAAATGTGAGTTGGGAAGCAACAACCTAACTAGTACGGAAATATTTAGTTAGCCACCATAGCTGGTGAATCATAAGTTCTTATTTAGCCATTAAAAAACTTATATATATATATATATATATATATATACACACACATTTGGAGGATCTAACTTTATAAAACTTAAATTGATTGTGACTAGATCAAAAGGGCTTTAAGAAAATGAAGCATTTAAAATATAAAAGATGGTTGATATATATTTTTTTAATTTTCTTATATTTATTTATTTTTCAATGACTAATGATTTAATATGAAATAAAAAAAAAAAATTGTTAATGGATTTGGGCTGGTCGAGCCCAAGGACGAAGAAGAAAAAGGCCATTCGAGCCCACAAGTTAAAATAGTTAGATTATGTTCGAATATTTTAAAAATAATTTGATTAATTAAATAAATTAATAATAATAAAAAATAAATATAATATAATTTATAATTCAAATATTAAAATAATAATTACTCCATAATTCTATAGCATTCTCAGCAGATGGAAATTAATTTAACTTTTATTTGATATGACAAAAGCAAACTACTTTGTGATGGTGTGATTTAATTACCTTCCAATCTTTATTTATATATTATGTATATTCATGTTTGAGAAAACATGGAGCAACTTTTTTTTTTCTTCATAAAATTTATAGATTTCGATATATAAAATTAATAATAATATAAATAAATTTTTAATATAAGTACACAGAATGTACTTGAACTCGTATATTAATAAAAATACATATAGAAAGGTAAATATAAAAATTTTCAAATTAATTTTAGAGAGAAATGCACTTCCCCAGTGATATTGTGCTTCATCGTGCGCGGATGATAATAGATCAACAAAGAAGGTCAAGATAAGGATTGGGGATCCTATCTTGGTTGAGGCGGACAATAGAGGTCAGGATCCACCCGATGATGAAGATATGGCCGATATAAACGACTTGGAGACATTTGTAGAGACCGAAAGAGATAATGAGTTAGAATCTGGATTCTGGGGGAAAGGAAAAACCTCATTCAAGGATAAACTCACAAAAACACTATATTCCAACAAACTGACGAAAGAATTCGAGGTGAAGGAGGACGATGTTGTCTTCCAAATAGATGATGGTATACCTATGATTACTTTCTCCGACAGAGTCCAAAATTATGTCTCCCACTCTATGAAGAACTGTGCAATCATCAGGCTTCTAGGTAGAGCCATAACTTATCATGCCCTACTCGGTCACCTCTAGAGTTTTTCGCGGCATACGGTTTCGTTCTAACTTATCGACCTCAACAATGACTAGTACCTGGTGAAATTTACTAACCCTGATGACCACATACAAATGCTTATGGGCGGTCCATGGATTATTTATAGGAACTATCTCACTGTGCAACCTTCGACTTTTGACTTCTCGGTTAATGACACCATGGTAAGTTTGGTGGTCGCTTGGGTGAGGTTCCCTAGGCTCCCCATTCATTATTATCATAAAAGCGTCTTGCGGGCGATCACTAAAGTGGTGTTGACAGTTATGAAAGTCAACTACAACATCGAAGTGTTTGAAAGAGGGAAATTTGTCCATGGCCATCGCCTTAGATCTTACCAAGCTGTTAGTGTCAAAATTTTGGGTGGATGGGAAACTACAAAAGATTAAGTATGAAGGATTACCTATAATATGCTTTAAGTGTGGTTGTTATGGGCATCTTCATGAAACTTGCCCACGAAGCGGTAGTACTGGCTCGAGGTAGACCAGAGACGACATGTAAGTGGACAAGCACAAACCACTAGAGACGACAATGCTGGAGGAAAAATTTGGACCTTGGATGTAAGTGGCCCACCGAGGAAAGAAAGTTGAGAGAAAAAGAAATAACATGATTCCCAAAAAATTTGCTTCTATCAAAGGTAAGATTGCTATGGGATCTCGTTTTGATGTGATCGTGAAATCTTAGGCGAAGGAAATGGGGAACAATAAGATTTTGCAGGCACTATCAATCTCAGGCTCTAAGAATTCGAAAAATCTAAGGAATAATTCTGTGAGGCAAAGAAGGGGTTACAAAGATGCTGAAAAAGAAACCCGCACGAAGATTAGGGGAGGAAAATCTCTGTAGGTTGAGCTGGTTTATGATGTTGGGCTTGAGGGTATAAGCCATGCAGTTGAACTCAAAGAGAATAATGACATTGGATTATTAAATGGACCGAGGAAGGAAGGTCCATAGTGACATATCAGTAACAACCATCTCTTAAACCAACCTGTGAATTCTGAAGCTTTTGAGGAAGGCTTAAAGAGAAACACTAATAATAGCTAAGGCCCAGCCCTGTCCAGCCTCTCAAATATTTAAGCCCATACCACCCTTAACTCTGCTAAACACATTGTCTTCTCCATATATGAGGGAGACGACCAATGGACTAAAATTAAGCTAGGATAGCAGATGATGATATCCATAGAATGCATCTTCCTATGACGAAAGAGCAAGACCGAGGCCAAACCACCTGATAAGTAGCAACCAGGGATTAAAATTTTCAAATCCTTGTGGAAATAGCTCAAGCCCAAGAAGCGCTAGGAGGAGTGCACCAACGCTTCACCAGCGGCTGTTCACACCTTTGTTGAGGGTCTTAAAGGTTGATTTTGGATTGAGGATAAAGAGGAAGGCAACCTGTTGGACATTGCTATACACAATGACATCTAGACCAGTTGTTTTTTTTGTGGTCCATTTCCCGATGGCCCCTTTTTGCTTTGGGTTACTCTCCCATTTTCCTTTATTTATGGATCCCAAAATATTAGTTTGGAATTGTCAAGGTGCAGTCAACTCGTAAGTTAAAAGAATCTTTAAGGAGTTTGTTAGATTGGACTACCCCAACATTCTCATGATTACTGAGCCAAGAGTTGTGGGTGATCATGCGGACAAGGTAATCAAGGGGCTGGGTTTTAACTTTTATCATAGAGTAGAAGCTAATGGTTTCTCTTGGGGTATCTGAATGCTGTGGACTAACTCTATCACCATGAAAATCTTGGTAAATAGTTGTCAATTTATATGTGCGAAAATTTATAGTGGGGAGTGAGAGTCGACCTTTTTTTCACGACAATCTATGAAAGCCCACAATGTCAAAAACACAATTTCATAAGGGCGGTGCTTTCTCAACTTAAGTCGAACACTTGGGAACCGTGACTTTTGACAGGTGATTTCAACACTATTATAGAGCATTCAAATAAAAGTGGTAGAACCGGTGGTGGAAATCATTGCTACCCTCACTTTAATAAGTTCATCCATGAAACCTATATCATTCAAATCGACCACCTCAGTCCTCACTTGGTGTAGAGGGACCCTCATCCAAAGATTGGACAGAGCTCTCTACATGCATGATTGGTATAACATCTTTTTTGATACAGTGGTGCAATATCTCCCAAAGCTTCAGTCTGATCATATGTCGCTCCTCATTAAAACCCAAGTTTTTTCTTGGCCAAAGAAGGTCTTCAGCTCCTTTTAGATTCCTTACAGCGTGGCTTGCCCATCTGAATTTTTGGCTTATGATGCAACGTAGTTGGAGTCGCATTGACTTTATTCGGACCACTATTAAAAAATTCTCGAACCAAGCACGGGAGTGGAATAATAATGTCTTTGGCCATATCTTTAAAAAGAAGAACCACCTGCTGGCTAGAATTTTCGGTATCCTATAGGTCCTCTAGAGATCACAGTCAGAGCGTCTTCTCAATCTAGAGACCTCTCTCCGCAAAGATCTTAAAGACACTCTTCTCCACAAGGAACTGTTCTGGAATTGCCAGTATATCGCCTATTTCTATACTCGTACTATGAAATGTTAATAAAATTGTCACTCTCCAAGATAGTACATGCAACTAGATTACAGAGGAGGACTAGCTTAGGCACATGGCGGTTAGGTTCTTTAAAGACCTCTACTCGAAAGACAGATACCCGGCTCCAAGATACAATATTAAGGGTAAATTCCTTAAATTAGATCCTACCATGCTCGATAGGCTTTGTAGACTGATCACTAGAGAGGAGGTTCGTAATGAGATGGTGATAAAAACTTTCCAAATGGTAGAGCTGGAGACGTGCATCAACATCACCCTTCTTACCTTAATTCCTAAAGTTTCTCGCCTTGTTAATATCAAAGAGTTTAGACTGATTAGTCTGTTAAATGTCTCTTATAAGATCATCACTATGGTCGTTGCTAACATACTTAAAGGTATAATGCAACTCCTCGTTAGCAATACTATGGCTAGTTTTATGGAAGGTTGTAACATATTGGATAACATCATCCTGGCATAGGAGGTTATTCATGCTATGAGATAAAAACGTGGTCAGACGAGCTGGATGACGATTAAAGTTGACCTGGAAAAAACTTGTGATAGGCATAAGTGGGACTTCATTGAGGACACTCTCGACGATGTGGGCCTACCTAGGCCTATGATTAATCTTATCATGCAATGTCTTGGATCATGTTCTATGCAGCTTATTTGGAATGGGGAGGCGCCTCTGAGGAGTTCTTCCTTTTTAGAGATATCCATCAGGGGGACGCTCTTTCATCTTATATTTTTGAGCTTTACATGGAAAGATTATCCCAACACATCAACAGTTTGACTTATCAAAAGATGTTACACCCTATCTCTTTGAGCATGAATTACCCTAAGCTTGCCCATCTCATCTTTGCCGATGATATGATCATCTTTGGCCATACCACGAATGCCTATATTCAAATTACCAAGGCAGTTCTCAAAGAGTTCTTTGAGAGTTTGGGTCAGAAAATTAGCGCCTCTAAGACTCGTATTTTCTTCTCTCACAATGTGGTTTCGAACGAGGTTATTCGTATTAGTAATGAACTTGGCTTCCACTCTTCCAATAATTTGGGTGCTTATCTAGTATTCCTCTCCTCCATAACAGAGTGACAATGACAACGTATAGTTATATTCTTGAGAAAGTTTAGAGTAAGCTCTCTGGTTGGAAAGTCAATCTTTTACTGACTGGGCGTCTCACCTTAGCTAAGTCTGTCCTCATGGCGATTCATGTTTATGCTATGCATACTACTACCCTACCTAGATTTCTTTGTGATCAGATCGACAAAGTTTTAGGAATTTTATTTGGGGATACTTTAGCGACTCTAGGAAGCTGAGTCGGGTGAACTGGGATACCATGCGTAAGCCCTGTTCCCTTAGAAGAGCAAGTATTCTTCGAGTCAAAGAGCTTAATAAAGCTTTCCTCATGAAGGTTGGTTTTGCCATTATCATTAAGCCCCACCTCATCTGGGTTCAAGTTTCGAGACACAAGTATAACTACGATGGTGCCTACAGATACACAACGAAGTCAAAAAACTAGTCCCATCTCTGGAGAAACCTTAATGGTATGTGGGACATTCTTAAGCAGGGTATTCATTGCATATTGACAACGCCAATCGAGTTAAATTTTGGGTCGACAATTGGTTTGGGAATTGTGGTCCTCTCAAAATGTTGACCTTACAACCAATTGATGATGTCTTGCTCTCCCAAAGTATTTAGGAGCTTGTTACTCTGTAGGGTCGATGGAACTGGGATATGTTACAGACTGGGCTCCCATCTAATGTTCTGATTAAACTGATTGTTGTGGCTATTCCACATGGAGAGATGGGACTTGATGAGCCCTACTGGGGACTTTCTTCGAGTGGTATATTTTCAGTTAATTATACTTATTCTCTTATTAGTAACAATGACTCTTTTGATGTATGTGGAACATGGGATTTTGTGTGGAAGTGATCGGGACCCCAACGTGTTAGACATTTCCTTTGGTTGACTCTTCAGAAGAAGCTCCTTATGAACAATGAATGTATGAGAAGGCATATGACCATCAACCCTGGCTATGAGATCTGTGGTTGTGGGACTGAAAATATCAACGATGTGCTCAGAGATTGTCATCAGGCGAGGTTACTGTGGATGAAGATCACTCCCCCAGATGAAGCCAATGGTTTCTTCCAAATAAACCTAGATGATTGGTTAATCAATAACCTATGGAACAGATGGCAATGGTGTTAGAATTTTAGGGACTAGAGCATAATTTTTGGGCTCACCTATCGGATGTTGTGGAACCAGAGAAACCAAATTATATTTGGGGGTAATCCATAGAGTATCAACAAGATGAAACACGCTATCCTCTGTATGGTTGACTACACCCTCCAGACTATTCCTATTGCTGTTATGATTGATGGTCGGCCTTGTAGGAAGACAGAGAAACTTATTAGCTAGTGCGCTCCCCCTTGGGACTGGATCAAAATTAACATTGATGGTGCGTTCTGGGCTGACATGGACCTGCCTTACGCGGGTGGCCTTGATCGTGATGAGAATGGTTCTTGGTTGGGGGGTTTCAGTCGTAATATTATCACTTGTTCTGCCCTTCAGGCTGAGCTGTGGGGAGCTTTAGATGACCTTGATATGGCTTGGAGGTGGGGGGCGCGCAAGGTCATCCTCGAGATGGACAACCTACTTGCGGTTAAGGTTTTGAAAAGAGTCATTCGCTAGGAACCGATTCAAGTCAATGCTTGCTCCAATCTTATTCAAGCCATTATATTTTGATTGGCTAGGAACTGGACGGTTCATATTTAACATATTTACAGAAAAGGAAACCATCGTGCTGATTTTTTAGCCAACCATACTTTTTCAAAACCTCCTGGATTGCATTCCCAACAACCAACTTTTTGCCGATCTTGCCCAGCTCATTGGTGACGACTTAATCAGTGAGTCTTAATTTAAAATGTATATGACCTAAATTTATATCTTTTTCTTTCTTATAAAAAAAAAACAACAAATAAAAGCATACAT